CAATAATTCCAAGTTTTTTTTTACTTCCTGAGGCCATCACATTTCAGGGAAGGCAGAAGTAAGAAGCATAACTTACCTAGCCACTTGGTGACCCTTTAATAATGAAAGCCAGACTAGTCCCCATCCCCTATCCTTCTCTGAAGCAGCTGGGGACTGGAATAGGTCAACCAGGTTCACAGTAAACCCATTTTATATCCTTAGGGAGTGTACTCACAGTTTTGTGCTATAACCAAGGCAGGTCTGTGGTGCAGTGGATAGAGCAGTGGGCCTGGGGTCAGGAAGACCTGAGCTTAAATCTGCCTTCAGATCTGGGCAAGTCATGTCACCTCTGTTTGTATCAGTTTCCTCAACTATAAAGTAGGGATAATAATAGTATCTACCTCCCAGGGTTGTTTTGAGGATCAAATGATATTTGTAAAGCCCCTGGCACATAGTAGGTGCTATAGAAGCACTAGCTGTTATTATTATTATTATTATTGTAACTCAGGTTGGTAGTATTGTTTATTTACTCTCCTGAATGAAGTTTCACGGCTATACAGCAATCAGCTGTTGATAAAGAAGCATCCCTAAGACTCTTTGGAATGTTCATAGAAAAGGATCACAGCCCCATGGGTCACTGGGAGGCATCCCATTCTTTGAGATCCCTCTGTAGAAGATACTTATTTCCTTACATTTGTATATGGTTCATACCTATTTTGGGGCCCCTGTCATATATACATATATGTATATAATGACATTGTATAATAGGTATAATAGGAGCATTCATGGAATTCCTCAGCAGATCTCTGTTCCAGATATTTTATGAGTCATCATTCACTCTGTCATAACTCATGAGCCCCCATTGTTGTGTTTCGTTTTGCTAAGTCAAAGAGAGCATATATTGGTTCAAAGCAAAAAAAAAAATTACGCAGCAATATAGTGAAACAAGGGGGAGTGGAACAAGTGATAAGGAAGATCTCCCATATGTATTGAGTGTGATCTTCCACTTCTTGTCACAAAAAATGTGGGGGGAGGGGTCAGAGAGTGTGGGTAGAGAAGAGGAAGACACACACAAGGGACACACATGACCAGGGTAAATGTATGACAGTCATAAACATGTAGGAAACACATGTGACCAGGGCAACACATGCCTTTGACATCGGAAAATACTTAGACCCCATGCTCATATCATCTTTAGTTCTCTGGCCCTTCCTTCCTCTAAGCCACTGCTGCTCTCTGCTGCCACCTGCTGGCCCATAGCTGTGATGCGGCTTCTTCTGTGAGCTGCTGCAGCAACTCAGGGCCTCAGTTTAAAAAACTCACATTTCAGCTGTTCGGAAATTTAGACCCCAACTAGTTTCACTCAATCGACAATCTAGAAAAGCCCTTACATTTGTTATTTTGAGCTCCTACTCTCCTGTTGATGTACGGACGTGTCTCAGCATGAACTCTTGGTTTATTTAAAGTGTAAAAATACCTTGAAATTCTTTTCTACTTCTATAACACCTAATGGCAGTCTAAGATCATTTTATAATTAGGAGAAAAAAGAGTGAAAGAGACTGATGACCTTTGTCCTATTTGTCCCTAATAATTTTGGTGTATTTTCTATATCCGCAAATTAAAATTCAACCAAAATTATTTTTAAAATTTGAGTTTTGAGTAAAATCCAAAAATTTTGATCTGTATCATCTGTATTGACTATTTTGACAAACTGAGTCATCTGGTACTGTGTAAGCCTCTCGGGAGCTACAAGAGATTATTGAGTCATAGAGTTGGGGAAGTCATAGTGCTGGATAATGAAAATCACCTTAGAAAATCACCCTGCTCTTTCTTGTCTCCACATTTTTCCTGGTGTTAAGAATTATGGCCGTGAGGGCCAAAGGCAGCTGACTGACTGATTTTTGCCACAAATCAGAAGCAACTGAAAACCTTGTTAAAACATCAAGCTTTCTATGTGGTTCTATAAAATGCAACATTTCATAGTTAAATTCTGACTTTATCTTAACTGAGTTTCCTCTGCTGACTAAGAATCATAATTTCCCAAAAGCAAAGTTATGAAATAAATACAGAGTGACATCATTAAATATCTAATTGATGGAAGTGGAAGTGCTTCGAAGTTTCCAGAATCATCATGGATATGTAAGAACAGATTTATTGTGACTTTTTATTTTGTACACACAGATAAAAATCATCATATTAAAGTGAAACACTTGCATTTCAAAGAGGAATGAGGATACGATTGCCTTCTCCCAGTACATGAAGGTCTGTTATGTGGAAGAGGAAATACTTGTTGTACTTGGTTCCAAAAGGCAAAATAAAGAGGGATGAATGGAAGCTGCGAAGAGGCAAATTGAACCTTGATGTCATGATTTTTTTTTTAACAGTTAAAGCCATCCATAAATGGGATGGTCTTCAGAAGGCAATGAGTTTCCCTTCAGTGGTGGTCTTCAAAGAAAGACTGGATTACCACTTTTCACTTACGTTATTGAGGGGATTCTTTTCAGGTATGAATTGAACTAAATGTTTTCTAAAATCTCTTTCAACTTTGAGATTCAATGATTCCATTCCTTATTGGTAGATGAAGCAACTGATGTCTAGAGAGTTTAAGTGACTTGTCCAGGGTTCTAATGGCTGCCATCTAGAAATTCAAGCTCTTCTAATGGCTCTTTTTGTATCTCTTTCAAAAGCCCATGCTTGCATGTAGTAGATTTTCCCATACTTTTTCTTCGCTGAATTCTAGATTAAGAATGGTATGAGTCTTCATAAGGAATTCGGAGACAATGTATGCTTCCTGCTGTTTTCTTGGGTGTCCAGTGGAGACAGATAGCCAGTCTACATTCCATGTCATTTTTCCCATCTGCTGGAACTGGCATTGCAGTTGAGTGGGCCGAGGAGAGAGAAGTTCTGACAGAGACCTAATAAAACTGTGAGGGTCATGAAATGACCCGGAGCACTACGACTTACAGCATATCTGTAAAGGCGTAAGAGAGTACGAACTGGGCCTGATGAGAGATACCCCACCATAGTGTGGCCAGCTATGGGTGTGCCAACCTCCAGCATTCTCTATTCTCACTCTGACTCCAGCGGCTGCTGAGGTAACCTCAGTGAGCTCTGCAGCCTGAAAAACCTTCCCTCATACATTTTTTCCCTGCATTTCTCCCCTTTTTCCTTCTAATTTTGGCAATATTGGTTTTGTTTTTGCAAAAGCTTTTTCATTTCATGGAATCAAAATTATCCATTTTACTTTCTCTCATCTTCTCTATCTCTTGTTTGGTCATAAACTCTTCCCTTAGCCATAAATCTGAGAGGTACATTTTCTGCATGCTTTTTTGACTTTGTTTCAGTGTTTCTTGATGTGTTATAGAGTGATTAGCTTCCAGTTGCCAAATTTTAATTTTTAAGGCATTATTTTCTTCAGTGAGCTTTTGTACTTTTTTTCATTTGGCCAATTTTGCTTTTTAAGGAATTATTTTCATCAGCGAAATTTTGCATCTCTTTTTTCATTTGACCAGTTGTATTTTTTAAGGTATTTTCTTTAGTATTTTTGTGCCTCTTTTACCAAGCTGTTAATTGTCCTCCTTTACTTTCATTTCTTTGCCTATTTTTTGCTTGACCACTCTTATTTGATTTCAAAAATAAAAATTTTAAGCTCTTTTAGAACATTTAGAATTTTTTTTTTTTTGGCTAGGCATGGGGGTTAAGTGACTTGCCCAGGGTTACACAGCTAGTGCGTGTTATGTGTCTGAGGCTGGATTTGAGCTCAAGTCTTCCTGACTCCAGGCACAGTGTTCTATCCACTGTGCCACCTAGCTGCCCCCTAGAAATTCTTTTATAATTTAGGAATTCTTGTTAGGATTACTGTCCAATTCACATTTTTTTTGAGGCTTTGCTTGTAGCTCTTTATACTTCATTAGCTATCCAATGCCTGCCAATGCATTTCCGTGTGCAAAACCAGCCCCTTACACTAATGAAACTTTCAGATCATAAAAATAACCATTTACTTAGCAATAAAGTGCTTCCCAAGTTGGCTTCTTCTTAACTTTCTAGTTTTTGTATACCTTGTACACTCCCTGTGCTACACTATGATCCAGGCAAATTTTTCTTCTTGGTATTTCTTACACAGGATGTCCCATCTCCTATTCCTGTGTCTTTGCTCTTCCATTCTTGGAAGGCTCTCTGTCCTCAGCTCTGCCTCTTAGAACCCCTGGCTTCCTTCAAGACTCAGCTCATACTCTCCATTCTTTTGTACCCCTTCTGGTCACTCTCCCTCCCCTTTCCAGGGTCCCCAGTCTTCACCTCTTAGTCTATCTTCCAGCTATTGTGTTGTGTGAATGTATTTATATCCATGTTGACTCTCAATTAGAATGTAAGCTCCCTGAGGGCAGGAACTGTTTTTATTTTTCTTCCTGTCCCTATTACTCAGCACCGTGTCTGAAATATAGTTAGTGCTAAATAAATGTTTGTTGATTACTGATTATTTAATTGATTAGTTGGTTTGGAGTTTGAAACATTTACTCCAGACTGTATTAATTCATTTTATCTGACAAAATTGTAGCTCTCTGCAATCAATAGTAAGCAGATAGATGCATAGATAGATAAATGCTTGTGATTCACCTTAGTCTCTCAGCCAGTCAGCCCATCCTCCCTATCTCCATCTGGCAAAGCCTAACCATAATAACACAAAAATAAAACTGATAGATTAGGGCTAGTCAGTTAATAGATATTGATTAAAGGTTTACCATGAACCAGGATTTGTACTAAGTGCTGGGGACAAAAAGGAAGACTAAAGATAGTCCCTGCCATAAAGGAGCGCACAATCTCCTAGCTGGTGAATGGTGAAGCGGGGATTTGAACCCCAGGTCTTTGGCTCCCAAATCTAGTTCACTTTGTGTTGTTGTACTGTTCGCATACTTCATATTCTAGGCTGGGAAACTGAAATCCAAGGAGCACATGTGGCATCTATACCTTCTTGGTGGCAATGGCATGACCTGGTCTCCTAATTTCTATGTATTTCCCTGCAGGTCACTGGCTCAGGATGAATACATATTAACCTGGGGTCCACTGGTCTATGGATTGATTTCAGAGATCCTATGAATGTAGATGGAAAAGGTGCATCTTTATTTCTACTAACTTCTAGCTGATAAATTGGAATTTCCCTCAATTATTTAAAATCATTATTTGGAGAAAGCATCTATGGATGTCACCAATCTGCCAAAGGGATCCATGACACAAAAGGTTTGCAGTCCCTTGGTTTTGTGGATAGTATGTTGAAGTGAAAACTTGTGTCCATTCCCACCTCAGATGCTTGATCTCAGATGTTTAGATGTCTCAGTTTCCATTCTGCAAAATGAGAAGAGTAATACCTGCAGTTTCTACCTCTGAGGGTTGTCATGAGGCTTATCATGAAATATGTGCCAAGTGCTTTGTAACTTTTAAAGCACTGTGTACAACCCAGGGATTAGTATTCTTGCACAAACGTTGGCACTGAAATGCCCCCCACCATGCAATTAACACCAGTTCTCAAGCTCCCTTGTTCTACTCAATTTTGGGTCCACTGCAGAATTCTGTATGTTGTGTGTGTGTGTGTGTGTGTGTGTGTGTGTGTGTGTGTACGTGCGTATACATGTATGTGTAAAACCTTGAGAACACTGACTCTCACCTTAGTATGTTCCACTGTTTTGTTTCTTTTTTGATGTGCTTTTGTGATCGTTTGTCATGATGGAAACCCATCATTTCCTTCTGGCTCAGGGGAACTTTGCTGCTGGCTTCTTCTCTTTGGAAACCATCTTCTCCGTAGCATATTTTGATTTCAGGCTATTCCAGATGCTTCCTAAGAACAACCCACATGTTGGAGCTGGTAGAGATTTAGCACTGTTCTTCCTTAATGGGCAGAAGTCATTTTGAGGCAGGTCAAAAGCTTTCAGTGCATTTAAAAAAAATGGATCCCTAATCTAGCACAATGCCTCACACAGAATAAGCTTGTTGATTAGTTGACAGAGCTTTGAGCTATCTCTCATTTTATCTTCCCATTGGTAGAGGTTTTGGTCCACTGCCCTTCCATCTTAGACAGTTTACTTTTTACAGACAGAATGCCTTTAATTTTTTAATATGCATTTTAAATGAGTTGGATTTTGTTCGTACTCTTGCTGTATGGCTATGTAAAATGAAAGAGGAGTTAGATAATTAGAAAGCAGGAAGTAAATTAAAATAAACAAATGACCATATCTCTTCTGATTGAAATTTATCTCTACATTAAATCCTCCCCTTCTCCAAATCTTAGAATATTCCAGAATTTTATAAGGTAGAGAGGACCTTAGGTGTGATTGAGAGGTGGGGGTGGGGGGACAGAGAGACAGAGACAGAGACAGACAGAGACAGAAGAAAAAGGGGAGGACACAAAGCAGAAAACAGAGGATGGAACAAAAGTAGCAAGGAGAGAAAAGTGGCCAAATTCACTCAGAGGGACAGGCAGCTAAACACAAAGAGAGAGAGGGAGAGGAAGAAAGAAGAAAAAGAACATGAGAGACACAGAGATAGAACAGAAGATCTGGAGGCCTCGAGCATTAGTTCTGCTTCCTCTTCTTGCTTGAATGCTACAAATGCTATTAGTTCCAAACAATTAGATCAGTGCTATTGGTCTGAATAGCTTTTCTTGTAAAGATCTATTCTCTCAATTTTAGTCATTTATCATAATTATTTTGCTTTTCAAAATACTCTATGCTCCTTTTTGCTTTTATTTAGAGCTACACTGTAGTGGACCAGAGCATTGAAAATGTGAGTAATAACACTACTTCCAAGAAAAAAAAATCCTAGAATTCCTAGGGATCTTCAGGCTGTCCCTTCTACAAAAGGCCTTTCCCCTTTCCTCTACTTGTTAGCTTCTCAGTTACTCTGAACTTACTTTTTATATAAGTTATAGTTATTTCCCTGTTTGCATGTTGTACCCCATTAGAATGTGAACCTTTTGGAGGCAGAGGCCTTTTTTGGCTATTTTATCTTATCCAAGGCAACTGTTTTTTGAAGTGAATTTCTAGGTTTTTTGCTTTTTCCTCCTTCCCTCCTTCCTTCCCTCCCTTCTTTCCTTCCTTCCTCTTCTCCTCCTCCCTCTCAGTTTTCTCTCCCTCCCACCCTTCCTCTTTCCCTTCCTTCCCTCCTTCCTTCTTTCCTTTCTTCTCTTTTTAGAGGTAGACTGACAAAGTGGCAACATGGTGGATCTGAAATTAGACAAAACATGGGTTCTAATCCTGTTTTGGACACCTAGTATCCATGTGAGTTAAAGTCCCTCTGCCTCACTTTGCTCCTTCTAAAATGAAGATAATATCATGACATAAAGTTGTGGTAAAGTTTAAAATGATATCTGTATCTACATATATGTATGTATATTTGTTCGTGTGTGTTTTGCAAACCTTAAGGTGCTATATACATCAGATATTATTATAATTTGGTTATCAGCTCTTTAGAATGGTCTTTAAAAATAAAATAACCTCTTGTTTGAAAACCTTTGATGTGGGGGTCCTTCAAACCTTTGACCTCTTACTATGGATTGTGAACATTATTATGGGATAACTGTTCATTATACATTAACTTCTTAACTTGATGAAAACTTCCAACAACTTGAAGCAATGCTTTATGTATATGGACATAGTGAAATAGGCCATATAATATATTATTTCATTTTATCTTTACAATAATGGGAAGTAGATGTTAATATTATCCCCATTTTACAGATGGGAAAATGAAGCAGAGAGGTGAAATGATTTGCTGAGCATCATACAACTAGTGAGTGTCTGATGCTGGTTTTGAAATTAGGTCTTCTTGACGTCCAAGACTGTCTTTGCTGTGTCATCCAGCTCCTCTGTATATGTCTGTATTCATTGTATTTATTTTGACCTTCACAAAAGCATTTTCAACTACCACACTAAAATTAACACAACAATGAAAAAGGAATGTGATGTAACAGATAGAGACTCAGAGTTATGTCGGTTTCTATCTGTGTATTTATTTCTCCCAGTACAAATGGGCAAGAGAAAGAAGGCCTGGGTTCAGGGCCTGCCTTCCCTATGTGCCATTTGCATTACTCTCAGCAAATCACAATCTCTCAGTGTTCTAAGCAACTTTCTTAGAGTGTAAGTACAGAGAGGGTGCTCCTTTTGTAGAGGAAACACCAAATTGGCTACTCCCTATAGTGATGAAATCATGGATTGGGGAAGAAATAAAAATCCCCAACATCTGTGCTGTGAAATATATGTCTTTTGGGTCCTGGCCTTTTGGATGTTTTATTGTTTCCTAGCTGTATCTGTTTCCAATTCTCCTTAGTGAATTGGCCTGCAGTATTTTGTTTGTTTATTTGTTTTGGTTTTTTTTCTAGAAGAGATCATCTGTTGCCCAGACCATGGACTCCAAGCCATTCCAGTCATGTTGGATGGGACAGAGCCTATATTCTGCTGCCCTGAACTCAGAGAGCCCAAGGTCACCGTGATGAAGGCATGTGAGGTGGGCTAGGGGAAGAGTCTGATGGTGAAACGAGGACAAAAGAATAAACACGAATTTAAAGCGATTGTGAATGTTACTGTCAACTTTTCTTATTTGCAGACTTTTTAGATTATTCTCTGCCAAAGCAAACAAAATGAGAGTTATGTAACTTTAACAAGTCATTAACCAGCTCATCCTATTTGTTTCCAGAGCCCCTGCTAAGCTTCTTTTTCTGTATGTGTATATGGACATGGATTTTAGTGTCATTGCTGAGATCTTATATATATATAATATATATATAATATAATATATAATATATTACTTATATATATATTAAATATATATAATATAATATATAATATATAATATATATATATATATATATATAATTGGTTGGTTGCTTTGTAGTTCTTTCCTTTCTACTTTCTTCACCTTATGTCACTTCAGGTAAGGCTTCTAATATTTGTTCAGTCTTAGTATTCATCATTTCTTGTGCCAGACAACATTTCATTCAATTCACATATGCTCATTTGTTTAATCACTTACCAAATAGTTTTTTTCTGACTGTGCCACCACACCATTCAAAAAGTCTCAATGGCTCCTTTTAGCCTCTTGGACAAAATAATATCAATTGTTCTTCTTGGCATTTACATGTTTTATAGTGCGACTCTACATGATCATTCTTGGCTGGATAAAGGCTACTGCTCAACCTCACCCACTTGAAGTTCCAACCAAAATGGCCTGCTCAATGGGACTTTGCCTCTCATGCCATTCCACCTCCTGCCTTCATGCAGTGCTATAGGCTGTCATGCCCTGCTTGGGCTGCCCTTCTCCCCACTTCTTCCTCTTGGAATCCTTACCAATGTTCAAGTAGCACCCTCTCTCAGAGGCCTGATTTGCCTGATTTGGACATGGTGTCAAGAAGACCTGAATTCACATACCACCTGAGAAGCTTACTTAGCTGTGTGACCTTGGGTAAGTCACTTAACATTTTTCAGCCTCAATTCCATCATCTGTAAAATTGGGATGAGACGAGTGGAATGATGATGCTTTGCAAAGCTGAAAGAGCTAATTAAATGTGTGTTATTTGACTCTACTGGAGATAACTTGGATATCAAAAATTTACAGGAAAAACTTTAAAATTTTTCTCCAGTTAATCATTTTCCTTTTAATTTTAAATAAGTTGATTTTGTGGAAAGAATTTAATTTTCATAATTAAAACTGTGAATTTTATTTTCTTATCAATAGTGGCAAAAAAGTATTTTCTTCCTTGTTCCCCTGCTTTTTTTTCAAATAATGTGACCTTTTATGTCTTTATCATGTATTCACTTAGAGCTTTTATCAATATACTGTATGAAATGTTGGCCTAAACCCAGGGTTCTTAATTGTTTTTTAAATCATGGACCCCTTTGGGAACCTAATGAAGTCTTCTCAGAATAATATTTTTAATGCCTAAAATACCTCTAGGATTAGAAAGGAAACTAAAAATTAGTGAAAATAAAGATGACTTTTTTTTTCTATTTGAATTCACAGACCCCCTAAAATGTATCCATGGACCTTTTGGAAAACCCCAGGTTAAGAACCACTGGTCTAAAACTCATTTCTGCCAGAGTGCCTTGCAGCTGTCCTAGTATTTTTGTTGAATAGTGACTCTTACTGCATTAGCTGAGGCTTTTGGCTTTATTGAGTACTAGCTGCTCCCCAGTAAACCAGCTCCACTTTTCATCAATTCAATTTTTCTTTGCTTTCTTTTTTATTATTCTCTTTTATTTTCAGCAATTAGAGGGTGGGTAATGAGTTCTGTACTCTGAGTATCTCATGAATGTCTGATCAATGTGCTGTTCAGAGGCAGTGCTAAAAAAAAGACTGTGTACATAATCTATGCAGGGAAGCCCTCCCTATGGTGGTCCACACCAAGACTATTGGTGCTTAGACTGAGGTAGAGAGGACTCTAATCAGAGATCCCCTGGCCTAAGCCCTGAAGGCTTCTGAATCCCAGATCGGAATCAAAATGACAGAGATGCAGACTCTAGGTATCCTTGGTTGTTTCCTTGTCTGGGGGCCCCATTTTCTTATTCTTGGCATACAGCTTCACTCCCTTAGCATCCCTGTCCCTGGGCTGGAAGGCTTCCAAGTATTCAGTTCCTGACTGGGCTTTTCTGTTTGTAGTCCTTTCTTAGCATCTGTAAACTTCCTTTGAATAGACTTGAATTGGCAAAATGTGCTTACTGTAGTTTCTTCCTGGATTTCTTGGGCATTTCTTGGTTCTACAATCATGCTTTGTCCTTACCAGAGTAGTCACGAGAGAGGTAGGCTGTTCTGTGTCCACTCACTTCACCATTTGAGTGGAGTTAGCTTCTCATCTTTTTTCCCCCCTTTTTTATATAAATTTATTTATTTTTAGTTTTCAACATTTACTTCCACAAGATTTTGAGTTCCAAATTTTCACACCATCTCGTCCCTCCCACCACCCCAAGATGGCATGCATTCTGAATACCCCTTCCCCTAGTCTGCCCCCTCTTCTATCTTTCCCCCCACTTCTCTTATCCCCTTCCCTTTCTATCTTCCTGTAGGGCAGGATAGACTTCTGTACCCCATTTCCTGTATTTCTTATTTCCCAGTTGCATGTGAAAATTTTTTTTAAAACGTGTTTTTAAAACTTTGGGTTCCAAATTTTCTCCCTTCCTCCCTCCCCACCCACCCTCATTGAAAAGGCAAGCAACTCAATTTAGGTTATACATGTGCAGTTATGCAAAACACTTCCATAGACATGTTGTGAAAAACTAACTCTATTTCCCTTAATCCTATCCTGCCACCCCCATTTATTCTATTCTTTCTTTTGACCCTGTCCCTCCTCAGAAGTATTTGCTTCTGATTACCCCCTTTCCCAATCTGCCCTCCTCTCTATCATCCCTGCTCTCTTGTCCCCTTCTCCCCCTATTTTCCTGTAGGGTAAGACAGATTTCCATACCCAATTGAATGTGTATGTTATTCCCTCCTTAAGCCAAATCCTATGAGAATAAGATTCACTCATTCCCTCTCACCTTCCCCTGTTTCCCCTCCACTGTAAGAGCCTTTCTTTTCTGTTTTTTTTGTGAGATAATTTACCCCATTCTACCTCTCCCTTTTTTCTTCTCCTAGTATAATCCTCTCTCATCCCTTAATTTTATTCTCCAGATATGACCCCTTAATCTTCAACTCACCCTGTGCCTTCTATCTATCTATCTATCTATCTATCTATCTATCTATCTATCTATCTATACATACATATAATTTTTTCCTCCAACTACCCTAATACTGACAAAGGTCTCATGAGTTATAAATATCATCTTTCCATGCAGGAATGTAAACAGTTCAACCTTAATAAGTCTCTTATGATTTCTCTTTCCTGTTTACCTCTTCATGTTCCACTTGAGTCTTGTATTTGAAAGTCAAATTTTCTATTCAGCTCTGGTCTTTTCATCAAGAATGCTTGAAAGTCCTCTATTTCACTGAATGACCATTTTTTCCCCTGAAGGATTATACTCAGTTTTGCTGGGTAGGTGATTCTTGGTTGTAATCCTATCTCCTTGGCCCTCTGGAATATTATATTCCATGCCATGCTGGTCCCTTAATGTAGAAGCTGCTAAATCTTGTGTTATCCTGATTGTGTTTCCACAATACTTGAATTGTTTCTTTCTGGCAGCTTGTAATATTTTCTCCTTGACCTGGGAACTCTGGAATTTGTCTACAATATTCCTAGGAGTTTTCCTTTGGGGATCTCTTTCAGGAGGAGATTGTGGATTCTTTCAATTTCTATTTTGCCCTCTGGTTCTAAATATCAGGGCAGTTTTCCTTGATAATTTCTTGAAAGATGATGTCTAGGCTCTTTTTTGATCATGGCTTTCAGATAGTCCAATAATTTTTAAATTCTCTCTCCTGGATCTATTTTCCAGGTCAGTTGTTTTTCCAATGAGATATTTCACATTGTTTCTATTTTTCATTCTTTTGGATTTGTTTTACAGTGTCTTGATGTCTCATAAAGTCAGTAGCTTCTAATTGCTTTATTCCAAGTTTTAAGGAGGTATTTTCTTCAGTAATCTTTTGGACTTCCTTTTCCATTTGGCCAATTTTGCTTTTTAGGGCATTTTTCTCCTCATTGGCTTTTTGGACCTCTTTTGCCATTTGGGTTGGGATATTTTTTAAGGTGTTATTTTCTTCAGTATTTTTTTGGGTCTCCTTTAGCAAGCTGTTGACTTGTTTTTCATGATTTTCTTGCATCACTCTCATTTCTCTCCCAGTTTTTCCTCTACTTCTCTTACTTGCTTCTCAAAATCCCTTTTGAGCTCTTCCAAGGCCTGGACTGATTCATCATTTTTCTTGGAGGCTTTGGATGTAGGAGCTTTGACTTTGTTGTCTTCTTCTGGTTGTATGTTTTGATCTTCTTTGTCACCAAAGTAAGATAATATAGTCTGACTCTTTTTGTGCTGCTTGCTCATGATCCCAGCCAATTACTTGAGTTTTAAACTCTTTGTTAAGGTAAGAGTCCACTTCCAATATGGAGAACATACTGTCCCAAGCTTCGGGGGTTTGTATAGCTGTTTTCAGAGATACTTGTAGGGACCTGTAAATTTTCAGTTCTTGCAAGGTGGTATGATAAGAGGCAAGTTGTTTACTCCTTTCCTGGCCTGTGCTTTGGTCTGTTAGTGACCACAAGCACTCCTTTCTGTCTTGGAACTATGAGAAAGGTTTCCTTTTCCCAGCCACTATAAGGTCCACCACACCAGTATTCCTCCTCGCCCTGGGACCACTGCCCAGAACTGTGACCCAGATCCAAGCATGGGCAAAGCAAGAGATTCCTGCCTCAGCACTGGCAAAGTGATCCCTGCAATCCCCCTCTAATCAGCCACTGGATTCCCCCTCAGTCTGTGGTCTGGAAGCTCAGGAGGCAGGTGCCAGCCCTGACAAAGTTCTCGGGGAACTGGAGCTGAGACCCTGAGCTCCTCTCTCAGCACCGCAGAAACAGACTTTTCCCCACTGACCTTCTCAGTTGTCTTTGGCCTTCTAGGTTTGAAA